GTCTGCACAGGTTTGAGCTCGCACGAGTGTGAGCTTGCACAAGCAAGGAGTCTGCACAGGTTTGAGCTCGCACGAGTGTGAGCTTGCACAAGCAATGCATAACCTTGCACAGCGTGACGCTGCACAAGCAATGAATGAGTTTGCGCAAGGTGTGAGCCTGTCCTAGCAAGGCACAACCTTGTAGAAGCAGCGCCCAAGCTTGTGTCAGCGAAGCACGAGCTTGCAGAGCTGAGGGGCGAGCCTGCACGAGCAGTGTGCGAGGCTGCACGAGCCATGCAGCTGCTGGGACGCTCCTTCTCGGCTGGGCCATGGGATGGGGTCCTGGCATTGCAAGCCCTGCCTGCCACCAGCTCCGCGGGCGGGTGACTCTGCGGTGCCCCGGGCAGGTGCAGACCCTGACGGGCACCATCAGCGTGGAGCAGCGGTTCCTCTCCCCGGAAAACGCCGCCCGCCTCCGGGAGCCCTGCGCCGGTGCCCACGGGGCCGCGCGCCACCTCCGTGCCCAGGTTGGTGGCCGGGGACGGGGACCGGGACGCGGGGGCAGCAGGGCTGACCCCAGCTCTGCCTCGTCGCAGGTGGATGCCATGATCTTCTCGGCACTGTGTGGGGCCGTGGGCATCCTGCAAGGCTGCAAGTAGGAGGGCAGCGGAGCGGGGCCGCGCGGCGCCGGAGCCGCCGGGATGCAGCGCGGAGCAGTGCCCAGCGCTGCTGCCGCGCGGGGAATAAAGGTGTCTGCAGCCATCGGTGAAATGAGTTTGGTGCGGTCTCTGCCTCGGCTGGCAGCCCCACCAAGCACGTGCGCAGCCTGGGGAGCGTCCGAATATCGCTGTTCATTGCAGCACCGGTCCTGGGGCTGCAATTCCTTACGCAGCACAGCGTGATGTGGCGTGGGGAGGGGAGAACCGCGTGGCTGCCCCAAGGAGCACAGCCTGGAGATGTCCTGCCCTGGCCCGGTGACACCAGCGAAACTGGACCATAACCCCTGTGCCCTGCATGCTGGGCATGGTGCCCTATGCTGCACCCATGGCGTGCTGTGCAATGCACAGTGCATGCTGTGTGCATCGCGCCATATGCAACAAGCACAGTGCAACACGCCACGGGCACCATGCAATATGCCATGAGCACCATGCCGTACATGGTGTGCACTGTGCTATACGCGTCGCGCCCCATGCAGCGTGCAGCGAGAGCTGCAACATGCAGCGGGAAATACGCGGCATGCACCGTGCCATATGCACTGAGTACCACGCAATATGCACTGAGCACCCTCCAGTGTGCAACAAGCACCGTGCAGTGTGCATCGTGCACCGTGCACCGTGCACTATGTGACACGCAACGCCCCCCCATATGACGTCACGCACTGCGCATGAAGAGATGACGTCATGCACTGCGCAGTATGCACCAGTAGGGCTCAGACGCATGCGCAGAACGCACGGCGCCCCGCCTCCCCTCCCTTGAGGCCCAAGCCCCGCCCCCCGCCTTGTGGGCAGAGCGGCGGCGGCGCTATCCAATGGGAAGCGAGCTGGGCGCGCAGGACGCCCAATGGGCGGCGAGGGGGCGGGCTGGCGGCGCGCGCGGGACGGAGCCCCGGGACGCGCGGTGAGTCGGGGGCGATGCGCGCATGCGCGCGGTGAGGCAGGCGGGGGGGGCGCCCCGCGAGCCTCCGCCGTGCCCCTTGCTGCGCCCCCCGCCCTCCCATCGCACCCCGCATTGCACCCTGCCGCACCCCCAGCCTCCCCATTGCAACCCGCATTGCACCCTGCACCTCGAGCCCTCCCCATTGCACCCTGCACCTCGAGCCCTCCCATCGCAACCCGCATTGCACCCTGCCGCACCCCCAGCCTCCCCATTGCACCCTGCACCTCGAGCCCTCCCCATTGCAACCCCCATTGCACCCTGCACCTCGAGCCTTCCCCACCGCAACCCGCATTGCAACCCGCATTGCACCCTGCCGCACCCCCAGCCTCCCCATTGCAACCCGCATTGCACCCTGCCGCACCCCCAGCCTCCCCATTGCACCCTGCACCTCGAGCCCTCCCCATTGCAACCCCCATTGCACCCTGCACCTCGAGCCTTCCCCACCGCAACCCGCATTGCAACCCGCATTGCACCCTGCCGCACCCCCAGCCTCCCCATTGCAACCCGCATTGCACCCTGCACCTCGAGCCCTCCCCATTGCAACCCCCATTGCACCCTGCACCTCGAGCCTTCCCCACCGCAACCCGCATTGCAACCCGCATTGCACCCTGCCGCACCCCCAGCCTCCCCATTGCAACCCCCATTGCACCCTGCACCTCGAGCCTTCCCCATCGCAACCCCCATTGCACCCTGCACTTCGAGCCCACCCCATTGCAACCATCATTGGACCCTGCTGCACGCCCAGCCCTCCCCATTGCAACCCCTCGTGCACTCTGCTGCAGCCTGAGCCCCTCCCTTGGTGCACCCCCGTGCATCCCGAGCCTTATCCCTAGTGCACCCCCTGTGCATCCTGAGCCGTTCCCCCATTGCATCCCTGCGCACCCCGCTGCACTCTCAGCTCTTCCCACTTTGTGCCCCCCAGTGCATCCCAAGCTGTTCTGCTATTGCACCTCGAACCCTTCCCCTTTTGCAACTCTGAGCCTTTCCTATTGCACCCCTGTGCACCAGGCTGCACCCCGAAGCCCTTCCCCACTGCACCCTCCCGTGCACGCCAAGACTTTCCCCATTGCAAGCCCCGTGCTCCCTGCTGCACCCCGTGTAGCCCTGCAGACCCTTCCCCTCCTGCACGCTGCAGTCCCGTGAGCCCGCCTGCCCTGGCACCCTGCACCCCAGCACCCCGCCGCGCAGCCCACCCTTCCCCACCAGCACCCTGCAGTCCAGCAGACCCTTCCCCTTCTGCATCCTGCCCCCCAGCACTCCCCCCTGCAGCCCGCGCTCCCCCCAGCGCTTCTCCTGGGGCACCCCCCGCTCCAGCCAGCCCTTCCCCTATTGCACCCTGCAGTCCAGCCAGCCCTGGCCCCCGCGCGCCGGCGATTCCTTCCCTGCCTCCAGCCCTCCATGCAGCCCGGGGCCCGGCGAGCCCTTCCCCCTGCTGGGCACCCCCCAGTCCAGCCAGCCCCTTCCCCAGCAGGGCTTCCAGTCCAGCCAGCCCCTTCCCCACAGTATCTTCCAGTCCAGCCGGCCCTTTCCCCCTGACACCTTCCAATCCAGCCGGCCCTTTCCCCCTGACATCTTCCAATCCAGCCGGCCCTTTCCCACTGACATCTTCCAATCTAGCCGGCCTTTTCCCCCTGACATCTTCCAGTCCAGCCGGCCCTTTCCCCCCGACGTCTTCCAGTCCAGCCAGCCCTTCTTCTACTACAGCTTCCCATGCATCCTGCAGTCGAGCCGGCCCTTCCCGTACCACACGGCTCCGGGCATCCCCAAGTCCAGCGACCTCTTTCCCTATATCCCCCTCTATGCGCTGCAGCCTAGCGAGCCCTTGCTGCGCGGGGCGCCGCGGAGCATCCCGCAGAGCGGCGGGCCCGTCCCGTACGGCGCGGCCCCCCGCATCCCGCCCCCCGCCGCCGCCGCCTCCTGCTACGTCCCGCCGCTGGCGCTGCAGCCCTTCCCGCCCTGCGCTCCCGCGGGCATCCCGCAATCCAGCCGCCCCGTCGTCTACGGCAGCTCGCCGAGCCCGCCCAAAGCCGCCCGCCTCTTCCCCTGCTACATCCCGCTGCAGTCGGGGACCCCCTTCCCCTACGGCAGCCCCCTGTGCGCCCCCCAATCCAGCACGCCCTGGCCCCACGGCTGCCCGCTGCCCTATTGCACCGCGCACGCCAGGGACCCGTTGCCGGTGATGCCGTCGGGGACGTGAGCGGCGCGGCGCCATGGCCGAGATCCCGGAGCTGGCCGCCGTGCTGGGCGGCGGAGCCTGGCCCGTGGCCGAGAGCTACGACGGGGACCCGCCGCCCGCTGTCCCCGCGCGCCTGCGCGGCAACGTCTGCTACGTGGTGCTCGCCGTGCTCTACAACGAGCGGGTGAGCGCGGGGGGCCGGGGGGCCGGGGCGGGCGCGGGCGCCGCAGCTGCCGGCCCCGCGCGTCTCCCTCGGCAGGACGAGGTGCTGCTGGTGCAGGAGGCGAAGGCCGAGTGCCGCGGCAAGTGGTACCTGCCGGCGGGCAGGATGGAGCCCGGCGAGGGCATCGCGGCGGCCGTGCGGCGCGAGGTGCGCGAGGAGACGGGCCTCGAGTGCGAGCCGCTCACGCTGCTGGCGCTGGAGGAGCGCGGCACGGCCTGGATGCGCTTCGTCTTCCTCGCGCGCCCCACCGGTGCGTCCCGCGGGAAGAGACGGGGGCCCCGCGAGTCCCGCCGTGGGGCACGGGTGTCCCCTGCCAGTGCCAGAGGGGTATTAGCGTCCCCAGCAGTGCCACGATGGGCTAACAGCATCCCCACGATGGGGGTATCAGCATCCCTGGCAGCCCCATCGGGGGGTCTCAGCATCCCCAGCAGCCGCTTCGTGAGGTACCCACATGCCCATCATGGCATATCAGCATCTCCACATCTCCAGGATGGGAGTGTCGGCATCCCTGGCAGCCCCCTCATGGGGTACCCACATGCCCATTGTGGGGTCTCAGCATCCCCAGCAGCCCCATCATGGGGTATCCGCATGCCCATCATGAGGCTTCAGCATCCCCCAGCCCCACGGCGGGGGTGTCAGCGCCCGCGGCGTGGGGCTCGGCGT